TGTGAAGAAGCTAGTATTTCGAGGAAGTTCAGGCTGAATCACTAGAGGGATTGTGACTGTTCTGGCATTATCTTCTCAGCACTTAAATGGCCAGGCAGATGGCAATATTCATCTAAAATTGAATTAAATATTAACTTAAAATCATTCTAGAAATAATCTTCCTTTGCCATAATTCTTAAACTTTATGGGATCACAGACTTCTTTGAGAATCTGAGACCTATGAAATTTCTCCCCAGAAAAATGTAATGCTTCAGAAAAAATCATTTTAGAAGCTATGAGCATCCCTCTCAAATCCATCTTTGTTGTAAATAATGTAATTTTTTTGAAGTTTAACCCCAAACACCAAAGTCTAATAGACATTAAGTTTAAAAAAAAAATCACCAATTGTAGACTTTTTGAAGTCTATAATTCCTCAATTGGTGGGAAACTGGTTCTGTTAATCATCAATTGCCTCACCCATTTGGAGCCGATGAAAGGATAGGAATTGGGTTTGTGCAGAAATTTCTTTGTAGAGAGTTGTTACTTTGCTGTGAATTCCCCTCACTCTGCCCAGGTGTCAGGGATTACTGTGTTCCTTATCCTTTCCTATGATGCATAAATGTGATCCATGTGGTTGAAAGAAATGAAGGCCAAAAATGTTAAATAGAGACTGGGACCCAGTACAGAGGAGCATACTGGGCTGGTGATGGGAGGGGTGGCTTCAAAGTTTTCTGAGATGCCCTTGAGGCCTTTGTACAATTGTTGTGATTAAAAAGTACCAGACTCCCTTTATCTGAGCTAATGTCTTTAGCATGCGCTTTTTCTTCATTCTATCCTGGTCAGGCCATAGGTTTTCTAAATCTTTTCCCTCTGCTTCTTTTTGTTCCTGAGTCTCATGAAAAATTTGACCAAAGGTGACTGGTGGCACTCATGCCACAGATGAATGTTTTGTTGTTTTGAACTTTCTACCAAATAAACTAGTTCATCACTTAAAATTTTGGCTTCACTTAAACAGCCTTTGGGCATGCGTGAAATGTATCCAAGTTCATTATCACAGTGTAAGAAAGGTGGCCTTTAGTCTAATTTCCAACAGATTCCTCATTGTCATCTGAGACTTGTTTCGGAGTTTCCTCATCTTATGAGCCCTCACCAGAATCATCCATAACTCTCCACTGGCAGAATTCTAACCTTTTTCTACCCTGCTTCTCCAAACTCTCCCAACCCCTGTCTGCCTATCACCTGATTCCAAACTGCTTCCCCATTTTCATCTATAGTTATAGTAATGATCTCATTCCTCAGCACTGATTTTCCATTTTCTGTCACTATAACAAATATCTGGGGCTGGATACCTTATGAAGAAAAGAGGCTTATGTAGGTCACAGTTCTGAGGGTTAAGAGCATGGCATGGGGCATCAGCTTGGTTCTGATGAGGACCTCATGGTGGATGACATAACAGTGGTGGGAGCTTGTGTAGGAGTGAGAGATCACATCATAGGAAGCCAAAGAGCGAACAGGAGATCTGGCTGAGGCCTTTATAACAATCTGCTCTCATGAAAACTAACTTAGGGGACCCAGAAGAGCTGCCTTAATCCCTTTGCAGGATGGCACCCCTAGTGACCTTGGCTCCAGACACTCCCACTAGGCTCCACTTCTTTTATTTATTTATTTATTTTACAATAGAATGCATTTTGACATATTGTACACAAGTGGAGCACAACTCATTCCTCTGGCTGTACATGGTTCAGAGTCACTCCAGTAGTATAATCATACATGGGTATAACATGATAGTGTCTATCTCTTTCTACTATCCTTCCCATCCCCACAACCCCATCCCTCCCCTCACTCCCCTCTACACAAACCAAAATTCCTTCATTCTTCCCTCTATCCCTGCCCTACTCTGGATCAGCATCTGCTTATCAGAGAAAGTATTTGGCCTTTTTTTTTTTTTTTGGATTGGCTTATTTCACTTAGCATGATATCCTCTAGTTCCATCCATTTACCTGCAAATGCCATAATTTCATTCTTCTTTAAGACTGAGTAGTATTCCATTGTGTATATGTACCACATTGTCTTTATCCATTCATCTGTTGAAGGTGTCTAGGTTGGTTCCATAGTTTATAGGCTCTGCTTCTTAAAGGTCTCACATCTCTACACTGCCACTCTGAGGATCAAGCCTCCAACACATGACTCTTTGGGGGACACACTCAAGCCATTTCCAAACCATAGCTTCAAGTATAGGACCCTATGTGACTGCATGGGTCACAGGCCCATGAGGCTACCATGAGGTGAGCAACAAAGGTAAGAAGAGGAGAGGTCACTGCTAGTGGTCCTGTTACCAAGAGACTTAGGACAAGTTTCTAGTGGAAAATTTTTGTAGTGAAACGCTGTATGTGATCCTGTCTTCATGATTCTGCAAACCCTCAGCCAAATCATAAACTCCCCATACACATATGGGAATGGGTTTCTTATGGAAACTGGTAAAGGAACTGGTCTGGGCCAGAAAGAGTAAGACAAGCAGATGAACAACTAGACATCAACTTCCCCTTATCTAACAGTTTTCATAAATTCAGGGGTTTAAGTAAAGAACTCATGTTCTATGACAAATTTCCCTGTCTTATAGGGAGACCACTTGGCCTTTTGTTTATTTGCATGACAGGATATTGCCTGATATTTTTCTCTATTGCTCAGAATGGGTGACTAGGGACTAGATCTGGAGGTATAGAGCTCTGATTATCTGAGGGTATAAATAAAACCATGGATAGCAGGAGCCAGACACTCCTTTGTGGTTTGCAAACAGAAGGCAGAACCACAGCAGACCTGCCTTGGCCTGTGCTGCTCCTAGATGTCTAGTTTTGAGAGTTTGACCTGGAGCAGGGGTGGGCTGCTATATGCCTCTTTTCCTGGATGCCAAGTGCTATGGTTTGGATATTGTTTAGGTGCAGCCCCAAAGGTTCATGTGCCAGAAGCTTGGTTCCAATGTGACAGTGTTGAGATGGTGGGATTTTAAGAGTGGGTCCTAGTAGGAGATAATTAGGACACAAGGATGTGGCCTTTGGAAAGGACTAATGAAGTCTCATGGGACTAGATAAGTTCCTGTAAGAATGAGTTGTTAAAAGGGAGCCTGGCACCTCTCCTGAATTCTTCTGCATACACTGCTTGACATTCTTATATGTACTCCCACAATTGCAATGCCATCTGTTATGAGGCCCTCACTAGACCTGAACAGATGGCAGCACCATGCTCTTGAATCTCCAAAGTTCTGAGTTAAATAAACCTCTTTTCTCTCTTTATAAAGTATCCAACTTCATGTATCTTGTTATAGTAGCAAAAAAAATGGAGTTTCTGCTGCTATAACAGCTCTCTGCACTCACAGAGAGTGGGGTCATGTCTCTCACTTGAACATACTATTTCTGTTTGCTTAGGCAGTAGACTTACTAGTCTGCTCCTCTTAAACAGGGCAAAGAGGGTTGAAGACAATGGGGAAGCAGTGGAGTAGTCGTAGGGCAGCTGTAAAGCAGTTCTGCCCTTGGCATATCTGGGTTGTCTGCTTTTTCTTTGCGTTAAGTGGCTACTGGCAAAACAGCTGCTTTGAGCCTCTTTCTGGTAATAAAAGGCTATGGGGAGTGCAGATGAAATAAGGGTAGTGGAAAGCAATCAAATAGCACCCAGGCCCATCAGTTCAGTGACCTGGGCAGTGCGAAGTCCCCTATAAGTTTTCCTGAAGAATTCACTTGTAGAAATAGCAACTTTCTATATAAAGGATGAGACAGCTACTCTCAACTCTGCATCCCTCCCTCCTTGACCACCTGTACACCTTGAAGAAGAAAGGAGGGGAGATTGTTTTTCAGAAGCCCGCCATTTCTTCTCCCACCACCCCACCTCTGAGGAGAGAAGGGAGACTGAGAGAAAGAGCAGAGCTTGTCCCTTTCCCACTTGAGGTCCTTTGGGCTCCTGGCCCAGCCAATGATGGCGGGGGGCGGGGGGAGCCTGCCTTGGATATGAAGTTGGCATCTTCAAATGGACTTGACAGAGTTTTTTAATATCAAGAAGTGGCCGAGGAAGTTATGGAATCTGTCCAGGGTATCATTAAGGGATCTCTACCCAGCAGGAGTGGGAGATTCACATGGCTCAGCTGGGGACACAGTGGGAGAAAAACAAAACCATTTCCTGTGTGCCCCCAATGGAGTTGAACTGTTCAATAAACCAATTATGTCTGATTGAGGACTTCATATTCTTAGGGCTAAAGTTGATCACAATGCATTTGTGTGTGGTAAATTGGATGGATAAACTTAGTTGAAGAACGGCCAGATTTTTTTTTTTCTGTGAAAAAAAAAGTTAAATGAAAAGATAAATAGCAGAGGTAAACTTCTGGATATAGAGGAGACACTAAAAGAGGTAACTGATAGATTTTAGGAAGATGCAAGGAAAAAGGCAACTAAGAGTTTCTTCATTTTGTAATATTACACAGAAAGATGTCAGATTTTAAATTCGGTTTATCATATAGATTCACTTACAGTGAAAATCTAACAGTGATATGGGGAAAAGTGGGTGTTTAAAAACATGTTTATAATTGGTTTGTTATCCTTGTTCATTTACTTGTAAGCCATGTTATTATGTCAAATTATGTCAAATTATTTAATTATCATCATTAAGAAAAGAGTAACCTGACAAATATGAAGTATAACTGTGCCCATGATTTTCATATAGGGTAGTGAGGGATGTGGCTTCAGTTTGGTAATGGGGAAAGAAAGGGAGGGAAAAACAGAATTCTTAAGTATTTAGAATGCTGTTTTTATTCAGACAATTATTTCAACTTTACATTACAAATATCCTTTAAAGTTTTTTTTTTTTTTTTTTAAATAACTTCCAAGATAACTTGTACTGGACAAGGAAAAACTGCCATCAACAATACATAAACCATCAAAGTGGTTCCACTGCTCTTATTGTCTTCACCATAGAGCTGTTTGCAGATATTACAGGCTGTAGCTTCATATCATCTTTAGGGACAGGCTCCAGATTTCTTATTTTTCTTGTTTCACTTCCACATCGTCTATGTTCTTGAATACCAGTCTCCTAAAATGTAAGCAGTATAAAGTGTTCTTAACCATCAGAGTACTAGAACATAAAAGCTTATAAAAATAGACCCATAATCCTAATTGCCTAATTATGCTTCAGTTGAATTGTGTTGTGCTTGAAATGAGTGAGACACAGATGCAGGCTGAGTTTGCGATGAGCACTCGGGTTCAAGAACTTACCATTGTCTCCATTTTCTCCTTTCCTACCACCCTATTTGCACACATCTGGTTCGTAGCCCGTCCCACCCCTGTATAATATCCCAGGACCTCAGCCAACATGGCGGTGGTTCCCCATTTCCTGATGAATAATGGCTCAGGTCCTTGTCTTTGCTCTGCATGACACTCTGCACTCTGCTCCTCATCACATATTCCTTGCTCTTACCAGACTGAACCTCAGCTCTTCTCAGCTCACCTTGATTTAGCTAGAACCTTTGCTCACACTCATCCTTTTGCCTGAAAATGACCTCTCTCCTGCCAGTCTCTGAATGTTCACGGTAGACCTCCTTTTTCAAGCACAACTCAAGAAATGTCCCTGGATATCCCCCTCCACCTCTGCCCCCACCCCAAACATCCTCTGTAGGATCCTCTAAGTGCCTCTCTATCATTTCATTTATGCTATTGAATACCAGGGGCTTCCTGTGTGGCAGACAGAGGTAGGCACTGGGGATATGGCAGTAGACAAAAATTATGGGATTTATGGAACTGAAATTCTGTTAAAGGTTATGGACCCTAAACACATGATAAGTCAGATGGGGATAAGTACCATGGAAACAATACATCAAAAGTGTTCTGAGAAGGTCTCTCTTACGACATAGCTTGCCACCTTCCTTCCTTCAGGCCTTAATAAAAGCATTGCAATCTACTTTTTATAAAAATAATGATTTTTTAAAACATTTCTACTAGAAAAAATTAACTTTAAAAATCATTTGTAGTAACTTATTCTCTGATTTATACATAGTAGACAATAGATACTTATTAGTAACAGGATTTATTTATAAAATGAGATCCAGAAAAAAAACTTTGATTAAAATAACTTTAAATCTAAGTTATTTGGGTTATTTGAGATGGTGTCCTTTAAATATGAGCCCAACTCTCCTGTGTGGGACATTTTGTTAGAAAGGGCAAGTGTCAGACAAAATGTCATAGGCTTCTATCCCCAATCTTGCATGGACTTAGTGTGTGACTTATAGTGTAGTGAGATTGATTAGGGAAGCCATCTCCTTACTTTGTTCCTGTAGCCATGCTTATTACACCAGGTCTTCTATAATTGTTTATAGGCATTTATTTTCCTGTGTCTTCAACCTTTTTCCCCTCTCAGAAATTTACTTTCTTGTAAACTTATTTTGAAAACTCATGGGTCCTTTCTGAACCAGCCAGTTCTATATAACTGTCCATGCACTTTGGCTGATTCTCTGGTATTTACCTTGGTTGTTTTTGATCAGGATTCTGGTTTTCTTGGCTCTGGCAGGTATTGGAGTACAGGAACTCACTGGCACAGAGTGAATGCATGGATTGTTGGAACAAATCGCTCAGTGTCTTGGTGACACTTTGGGCTGTTGTCATTCTTCCAAACCTTTGGGGTAGGGTGGGAATGTGTCTGGATATGCTGGTTTTCATATTTCTTCCAAATCTCAAAGGCAGGTTGGCTGTCCCTCCAGGGCTCCTTTCTTCTTTCATGGTCCTCCCGAATCTCAGAGGCAGGTTGGCTGCCGAGTGTGGCATTTTATTGACTGAGGGTGTGCTCATCTTCATGACGTTTTTTGGTCCCCAATCTCTTAACTCTTGAAAATTGGGACTTTTTTCCTTTTCCCCTTTTGGGGCTTCCCTAGGCTATAATTAGAAATGATCATTAAAATAATTTATTATTATGATAAATAATAGAGTTAAATTCCAAATTTAAATCCAGACTTTAATCTGATGAATTGTTAAATCTATAAACAAAATTTGTGTTTTTATGTGCAGAATTTTTAAAATAAATAATCTGTATTAAGCTTTTTGAAGCTATCTACTTCCTGTATCCCTAGACTATTGTAAGACAACTATAAAATATTAATAAAATATATATAGTGAATAAAACAATATGTTTGAGTGGCAGGAACATAAGGAGTATTGAAATGCAGCAAAAGTTTATTTTACAGCCATTATTGTCTTTCAGTGTTGTGATTCATGTTGTTTATGAAATGTTTTGTGTTTTGACTTTAGAGAAACCTCTTATCCCTTTCACTGTCTGGTGTTTTGCTCCCTTTTAAAGGCCAGGTGGTACATGGAAGCATGGTGCATGGGAACTGAGACACTACCTAAGTTTTGGGCTATGATGTAGGAGACCCCATTGACTTTTTCCCCACTTTGCACTCAGTATTTCACCCTACAAACATGTCTTGAGAAACCAACTATATTTTAATTAGAATATTAATTACATTTTTAGTAATAAATCAATTGGTTGGTGGTTCATAGCACTACAAATATACAAACTTTATAGGAACCACTTAAAATACAGTGACTGTTCAATTAGATTTAATTTTACCATGAAAGTTTGTCCATATGAAAAATTTTAAATGATTGTTTTTTAATTGTAACCTGAGTAAAATGAATACTCCATACTAATTTCAGCAAATTTGGAAAATATATAAAAACAAAGAAGAAAATAACTTGAATTTCTACCATCTAGAGGTAAAACATTTTACTGTTTTACTACAAACTTTACCTGCTTATAAGAGATTATAAATGTTGTATGTTCATTTGCAGTTTAAGACAATGGCCAGCTGAAAAGTATCCAGATCTTTATTTCTACAACTATTTATTACAAATGTAAACTCTGAGTCAATTGAAAATGTACTAATGTACTTTAAGCCTGCAAAGTATCAGAGTCTAAGTATTTGTCATTACAGAGCCAGGCTGTGGGGGTTGTGGGTATAGTCCAGTGGCAGAGCACCTGCCTGGCGTGTACAAGGTCCTGGGTTCAGTCCCCAGTACCAAAAGAGAGAGAGAGAGGAGAGAGAGGAGAGAGAGGGACCAAGCTGTTTGCTGAATAATACAAGTTACATCAGTATACTATCTTAGGAAGGCTGAAGTTTGACCAAAAAGACCTCAGCCCAAACTAACTTGTTGTTATTTACAAAGCTATAAGACTCAAGACAAATATTATATATATCCTGCTGGTCATATTATAGACTTAAAAACTTACCTCAAAATATTTGTTGTAATTTTCTTTGCTGTGAAGATTGGGCATCAATAATTCATCTTCACAAAAGATGTTTGATGTTAACAAGCTTGAAGTGGCTAAAGTCAATAAAATGAATCGTTTTGAGGAAATGATTTCCATTTTGTCCAAATCTAAAATTAAGTTAATATGTGCAGTCCAGTGTCTACAAGAAGGGAAATTGTGGTGTTTTTATACTGTCTAAAAACAAAGGAAAGTTTCCTGTAAGAGTGAAGCTAATCCCACATGTTTGAAGCACTAATATTAACTAGCGTGTGTAACTAAAATATGCATGTAAGGAATGTGTAGTTCATTCTGGGGAGACAGCAATGTTTGTGCTTGCAAATTCATTAACTTTGAAAATAGTAAAGCTTTCATAATGAGAAACTAATTAGGTAAGATCAGGGCAATAGTAATTGAGATTCCAAATAAACAGGATGCTTCATTTCTGTAAGCTTAAATAAAAAGTATTTTGTTTCTGGTGTTTACGTCATTTTTTGAGGAATAGAAATAAGAAGAATTCAATACATGCTAGATACATTTTTTAAAAATTCACACAAAAGAATTAGGCATAGTATTTTCAGATGTCAAACAATTGAGAATGTGAAAAGAATTAAAAGTCACACAATACCCCAATAAAATGCCTTGACTTAATTCTTTTTGTAAAATGCTGTTTGGTTATTAAAAAGCTTCAAGAGTAAATGTCAGCTGTATTGTGAAGGATGAGCAGAAGAACAAATATTCATTAGGCATTTTGACAAACTGGTCATCTCAGGAGAAGATGCAGGTAGTCAAGGCCCTTAGGATTGGCCCTGTGGGGCTTATTTGGTAAAACTGCATAAATCACCAGGATTTTATTTCTATCAAGATACCTCATCCTACCTTCCTGTTCAAAGTCCTAAAGAATTCTAGCACAGGTTGGGTAAGTCACACACATGCTAATTTTGTTCTCCCAGGGCCTATATTATTTAGGTAATCTCCTTTTACCACAGCCATGATGACATCATGGCATTAAATGAGAATTTACAGAAATAAATGTGTATTTACTGAAATACCACCGTGAGTCTCTCTTGGAGCAGCTGACTGGTATTTTTAAAGCCCTGCCTTATCGCTAGACTGTTTTGGTTTCATAGAAGCTATTACTAGGTCCCCTTGGTCCCTTCAACTCTCACAAGGGAAATGGCCTTTCATGGATTTCCAACACTCAGGTACTTCTAGAGGTCCCTTCTGGAGGTGAATTAACAAAAACATACAGTCTTTCTGTAGTGTCAAGTGTACCACCTCTAACCTCTCCCACCACCCCTGTGTACACACTTTGAGGTGTGAGGTGGCAGAAATGAAGCCCCTTTTCTATATTGAAGATCTCCAGAATAAGCCAGAAAGTTGGAAAACATGGTGGGTAAACTCTTGTGATGCCTGAGCCTCACACTTGCCTATGTCCTCTCTTAGGACATTTGAGTTCATGGGCTTCATTTGTTTTGATCTGTGATTGCCCAAAATCCCCACAGTAGGAGGCAATTAATTCAATTCATAGTCTAGTGTTAATTTTGTAATGCTGTTATTGGATTATTTGGGTTTAATTTCCCTGAGGATTTAATGTACTTCTCTTCCAAATTGTTTTTTTTGCAAACTGCTGATGGAACTTCTTTCTTTTTCTTTTTTTTGTGGTCAGTAGATCCAAACTTTTGAGAAATGGATGGTCAACAAAACTTGTCCCCTTGCACCATGTTCACACCCAGGAAAGAAACAGAAGGCGTCAGCCTAGGTCACTTTCAAAATTGTTTGTATCTAGTTGTCCTTTTTAAATAACATGGAACTTAAGCACTCCACCAGGTTTTTGCTACTTAGGGTATTGGCACATCTGTTAGAGTTTTTCTGATTCTAAATCAACATCCAAAGTAGCCCATATAACTAATTGCTTTCCTGCCTTACCAGGTTAGGCTTCCAAGTTTGAACTACATTTAAAATGATCTCATTAATATAGGGCTTGGCTGTTTTTAATCATATCTTCATTTTGCTTTGAAAATGTTAGCGGACATAGAATAACCTTACCAACATACACAGTATGAAAGCACCATAAATCATGGGTGAATTGTGCAAGTACACACACACACACACACACACACAGTTGGTTTGGGGCTTCTTGAATTGATGTATGAGCATGCGAAACATTTTTAAAAATCCATCTTCCTTACTTTGGTATTTAAATACATGCTTTATTTGCTAAAATTTTAGAAAACTTAAGGCTTGCATCTAAGTTTGAACACTTCTGAGCTTTAGTCCCCCCAGTACTCAGTTTCTTATCAGACAGTGCTTTTTGGATGTCCCAAAGCATGTCAAATTGCGTTTTGGATATAATGAACTTATCTTTTCAATACCTTTTCTTTCTCCTCTGTTTCTTCAATGACTAGTACTGCATAAGTCAGGGTCTAATTAGGATGCAGAAAAAACATAGTAATTTGATCAAGGAATGATTAATGCAATTTCAAATTATAACAGGAGATTAACTCTAAAGGGGTAAAGAATACACTAGGAATGGGGGTGGGATAAGTATACAAGGAAAGAACAAACTGGTCAGAATTCAATCAATATTGAAAAAAGTATGGATGGCAAAAGTATGGTGGGTTGCCCCAGGCCAGAGTTTGTCCACAGCAGGAAACAACTTATAGGTGAAAGACTGGGCAGTAAGATTCTGGGGTATCTGAGAATTCTAGGAATCTTTTGTTGAAATTTGATGGGGGTGAGCACCTTTCATGTCCCCCTTGTGCACTGCTGGCAGCCAGGTATAGGAGCCCAAAGAAGCAAATAAAAACACATTTTAACCATGAGAAGTCTTCTGTTGCAGTGTCCCTCCAGTGCCTTTTACTAATAAAGTATGAAACTGCTCCAGCTGCAAAGGAGGAATGCTCACAGGGTCATCTCCATGATCTCAAAGCATGCATTGAAGGGTAGATTTGGAGCTGAGAGGCAAGAAATAGATAACAGGGGCTGGGGATGTGGCTCAAGTGGTAGCGCGTTCGCCTGGCATGTGTGTGGCCTGGGTTCGATCCTCCGCACCACATACAAAGATGTTGTGTCTGCTGAAAAAAAAAATATTAAAAACACACTCTCTCCTCTCTCTTGAAAAAAAAAAAAAAGGTAACAGCCGTGGTTACTATCCTCCATTCATTTATCCAAACCAATGTCCTTTATGAGATCCTTGACTATTTCCTCTCCCTTCTCCCACATCTCATTAAACAATTGTGTTGTTTCTAGTTTTGAGTTATTACATTAAAAAATAGCCATTATTTATCTTTCATAATAATCCCACGAGCAGGTATTATTTTTGTTCCTACTCTACAGGCGGGAAACAGATTCAGAAAAGGAAATTAAGTCACTTTTCTTATAAGTGGCAGAGTAAGGACTTGAACCCAAGAAGTCTGAACACTAGTGATTATTCTAATGTGCCCAATCAAGTCTAATCTCTTGACTTCTAAGTACCTTTATATATGCTCACTTTTCTTCATCCCTGGGGCAATTAACTAATCCATCATTTTCTCTTCTCTAGACCCTTTTCTTGGTCTTCTCCAATTCCTTCCCCACAGCTCTTTTGACCTGACCTCTGCTTATTTCTCTGGCACCAACTCTACCAATTCTCTATTACAAACTTCCTTCTGTTCTTTCAGACGCACGTGATTTTTCTTGCCACCAGCCCCCTGCCCGTGATATTTCTGCACATGGAACATCTGTCCACTTGTCTCTGTCCTTACACATATCCAGTGTTGGAGTCTCAGCTGAGGCATCACATGCTGTACAAAATCTCTCCTGGGCTTGCAGCTCTGCTAGCTCTGTTTTCTTCACTGATCATGCTTCTTGTCACTCTGCCTTGTCCTGTTCCCTTCACTGCTCGATAAACTCTGAGGGCAGGAACTTGTTTGTGCAGATTGCAGTGGTACTTCCATTTCCTATTGCAAGAATGCTTAGGAAATTTTATTTCTGAATGAATGAGTACATTTTTCATTTATATTGTGAATAGAAATTAAACTGAAGTTGGTTGTTAGTTATTTCTTCCATTTGGTCCATTCAAGAGTTTTTTGTCTTTACTGTAAGTTATACCTTATTAGAGCTTAAGCTTGTGGCTTGTTCTGAAATTAGAATGTCTTAACATTATCATGTTGGGGCTTCACTTTTAAGACTTTCCCAGACTGAGAGCCATATATGAGCAGTCAGCTATCGTAGGTAGAATGTGAGTCTAGGTATATTCTCAGTTAACATGCAGCTTAGTACATTGAGTTTATTCTTCTGGGTCTTGCTGTGTTATGGGCATCGATTGTGCCCAGACACCAGGAAGGGTGTAAAAAGGGTCTGCACAACTCCAAGAACGACTCTGGATGATGCCCCAGAGTCTCCTAGGCAAACTTTGGGACAGAAAAGTGTTCCAGATTGCTTATTTTTTTCTGTGCCTTGTGTAAGCAAGGGGCTCAAATCATTTCTACCAATCAGAAACCAACGTGATTTGAGTTTGAATTTAAGATTTTGTAAAGCTCTAGTCTATTTGCACTTCTAGTGAAATACTTAAAATAAGAGATTGTTTTTTGCCATGGGCTGCAAGTTTCTGTTTAAATCTTTGTGTCTAAGAGGCAGCTCGCTCCCCACATAGATCCATAATGCTTCCAGAGGCCATGGTGGGGTCCATGAAACAGGTGGTTAGTTTCATAGCCCAGGGAACCTGGTTATAGAGCTCTTCTCACCCTCAGCCTAGAAATTTACTTCCAGCCTTTTAACAATGCTTATTTCTTCCTTTCCATCTAAGCATAATTCAATTGTTGTGTTGTGTGGAAGAATTTATGGTCATTAGAGTTTTATTTTCCATTTCATGTTTGCAAAGTATTTTACAACCATTTGTTAAAAAAAAAAGGCCTGAAATTAGTTAAAAGGTGGGTGGAGGTATTACTATATAATTCATTTCAGCATTAAGTGTGGCAGAAAGAAATACCTGCCTTTCTTCCAAATAAAAACAATGCATGCAAATAGCATAAAATTATTATTTAAAGAATGTAGAGTAGTGCCTTTGCTTCCAAGATTTATGAAGGGCTTGTTATAATGAGCTTGTCATATTTTGATGGCAGGATCATATTCACTTC